CCTGTCTACACCCTGCAGTCAGCAAATGCCATGTGGCCACCGGTGGTAGTCCAGAGGAGGCCAGTGTTGGGGGGCAGTTTGTGGGGTCTGAAGCCCAGCTGCCCAGATCTAAAGCCTGAATTTGGTGTGGGGCTTAGGGCCAGTGGTTTAAACTCTCTGGGGCTCAATTTCCTCAAATGTAAAATGAGGATACGATACTCTCGGCTTGTAAAGAGGATTTGGAGAGATCTGGAGTGTTCTGGCTCATCGTAGGCTGGGCACCTGATAGGCACTAAGAAAGAGGCCAATGATCATGGGAGGGAATTATTTCTGCCCATTTTAGGGGAAACATTCTGACTTCTGAATCTACATAAATCATCTGTGGGGCACTGAGAAATATTGAAGCTCAGCCCCATCCCTGGAGAATCTGATGTACTTGGTTTGGGGCGAGGCCTGGGCATCACCATTTAAAATCTCTCCAAGTGACCTCAATGTTCAAGCAGGTTTCAAAACACTGCAGGAAGACAAGGGGCACCTGGGTGGCTCAGCTGGTTGAATGTCTGACTCTTGATCTCAGCTCAGGTCTTGATCTCAGGGTCATGAGTTCAAGCCCTGAGTTGGGCGTGGAGCCCACTTAAAGAAAAAAAGTTTGAAAAACACCATAGGAAGACAAAGGTACAAAGGCACAACGTCTGGAAAGGTCTTGGCCCTGGGAATAGCAGGAGGTACCTGAGGTGGAGCATGGGGAACATGGGCATGGTAGAAGGGGAGAGCTTAAGGACTGAGGTCTCTAGGTCCTGGATCCCTAGTCAAGCCTTTCCACTGCCTCTGGTTTGTTTGAAGTTTGAGGTAAGAGGGTCTCCCCCAGAGCAGGCTCTAGCCACACTGATGTCCCTGAGTGCTCTGGCCTTGGGCTTCCCATTCTCTGGGAACTGAGACAACTGAACCACAATGCCCATGGCCCCACCACTGAGAGGAGGCTGGAACCCCTTGCATTCGGGTCACTCCTGACCTTATCAAGGCTGTATCTCCTCTCACAGCCTCTCCTCTAAGCCACAGAACAGAGGTATCAGGGATGGTGCTGAAGTTGGCACAACCTTTGGGGACACTGTTTTCTTTGTGGCCTTTATAAATGATGGCTCCTGGAGGTATGAGACTGAGACCAGAAGTACTGGGCAGGGATGGTCTCATGTCCCTATTTTACAGAGAGGGATGCTAAGGCTTGGGATGGGACTAGACTGAGTGCTCTATGAGGGCAGGAGCAGGGCCTGTCCTCCCCCTGCCCACCAGCACCAGCCTGGCACACAGTAGTCCACTAGAGAATGTTGATGACTCAATGGAGGAAAAAAATACAACCAGGAAGAAATGACCTTTCTGACAAGGGCTGTGTGTCAAGGCCCCAGCAGGGAGGACAACAGAGTCCAGATTTGGGCTGCCTCCAATGTGCTGTAAGTTGCTAAGGCAACTCTGCCTCCAATGTGCTGTAAGAACTCAGGTACCTCCCTCCCTCTCCTGGGACTTAAGACCCTTAGAGAGTGGGCCTTGGCTCAGAGGACCCATCTCCCTGGTAGTAGAATTCATAAAACAGCTCCCCTCCATGTTTCCAAAGCTAAGGCCCTAGCAGGTTTCCTGGACTTGGGAATGCTGGTTGCCTGTGTTGCAAGGTTCCCGACCTGGCCCTGCTCCTTCCCTGACTCTTGCCTGCATAAATCACCTTGTGCAGCTTGGAGAAACTTGTAACAAATGTCTAATTGTCCCTGATTAGATGAGCCAATGAACTTCCGTCCTGTGTTGCTCAGATTCCTCTTTGCAAGTCCCAAATTAAAATTCCAGACCAGAGCAAGAGGATTTAAATTGGATTACTGGATGGGGTCCAGGGAGAGAGGAACAATGGACGGGGGGGGCAAGGGGTCCAGGCCCCCACATCCCTGCCTCCATATGCACCCAGGCTGCAAACAAATGTGAGAAAGGAAAGAAGGGCCAGAACTTGATTAAAAGCAAATTTAAAACACAATTAAGACCAAAGCTCATCCTGAACAATTAGGACCAAGGCAGGGGAAGGATGGTTGTCCTCTGCATCCTCTGGGGATATGGACAGAAGCATCTTGTGGGCCTAGAGCCAGAGGCACTGCAGCAGGGGGGTTCATGGCCCAGCAGAGTGCTGGGAAGGTAAGGGTGGTGGGCTCTGTGCACACCTTGGAATCATGTGGGAGTCAAGGGCATGGCTTAGCATCAGAGTGACCCGGGTTCACATCCTGGCCTGATGCATGGCATGTCTGAGTCTCTGTCCCCTCTGTGAAGTGGGCCTCCCTCATGGGGTTGCAGTGAGAGTAACCTGTGACAGACAAGACATGGTGAGTGCCCAAACAGTGAATGCCCTTTTCCATCATTCTTTTTTCTTTTATTTGAGAGAGAGAGAGAGAGAGAGAGAGAGAGAGAGAGAGAGAGAGAGAGAGAAACAGCACATGTGAGAGCAGGGGAGAGGGGCAGAGGGAGAGAGAGAGGGAGAGAAAGGGAGAGAGAGGGAGAGAAAGGGAGAGAGAGAGAGAGAGAGAGAGAGAGAGAGAGAGAGAGAGAGAGAATCCCAAGCAGCAGGATCCACGCTCAGAGTGGAGCCTGATGTGGGGCTCGATTTCAGGACCCTGGGATCATGACCTGAGCCAAAATCAAGAGTTGGATGCTAAACCAACTGAGCCCTTCAGGCTCTCCCCCATCATTCTTCTATTGAAAATAATTTGTGGCATGTCAGGCTGGCTCAGTTGGAAGGGCATGCAACTCTTGATGTTGGAGTTGTGAGTTTGAGCCCCACACTGGGTGTAGAGATTACTTAAATAAATTTTAAAAAAATAAAAAGAAAATAATTTGTATTTGGCACCAACTATGTACCAGGCCATGGGCTAGGCTGCAGATGCAGTGGGAAGGAGAGAGACCTCTGCCCTGCCTTGAGGGGCAGGGTCCAGCATGTGGGTGGGGTATAGAGAGAGTTGGGATCAGGACCCAGGCCTTGGGCTCTACCCTCCCTGCCAAGCTATCAAGGTTGATAGTTTGTCTAGAATTGGGGAGAAGAACTTGGGGAGGGACCTCAGACTTGCAGTGTCCGGGGAGGATGGGCAGGGGGCTGGGCCCTGGGCTCCATCTGTGGAGGGCAGGTCAGGCATCTGTCATTGCCACCACTCAGCACCTCTCATTGAGGGAACTGGTCCTAAAGCCAAGGTGGGCAGCGGGCCTAAAGGATGCCTCTTCCCAAATTTATCAGAAAGTTTCAACACAAGTTCAGGGCTGGTTGCCCGCACTTTGTAAAATAGAGGAAAGTAAGGAAGTAGTGGGCAAATGAGGAGTCTGGAATGAATGGAAGAGAGAGAGAAAGAGAGGCAAGAAAGGTGGGGACAGGATCCAGGTCAGTCCCAGTTCTAGGAAAAGCAAGGAGGGGACATGATATGCTGGATGGATAGGGCAGCAGAATGTTTCTCACAGTCAGGGGAGACACTCTTGCCCTACCCTGGGACTGCTGTCCCAGTTGAAGGCTGGGCTTTGCCTCCTCCCCGGGGCAGTTCATTTCTCCAATTGTCTCCCCACCTGTGACCAGGAGTTCCTGAAGGTCAGGCTGGACTGGGGCTGGGCTCACTCTGGGTCGTCTGGATCCACCCTGGGTTGGGAGGCCTTCAGGCTCCACTTCCTCTGGGACTCTGGTCCCAGCATGCCAGCCTCTCCCTATTCTATGATTCCAGGTCACACAGGAGGGGCAGGGGACCCCAGGGGGATGGCAGGGCCCAGCTCCTGGGGAAGAGAGTTCTCTCCTTGGGGCCTGGATGTGGTGGGGGCTTGAGCTAGGTCACTGACCTGATTTAACCCTGCCAGGCCCCTGGTCTGAGCTTGGGTATGGCTTGTATGGATTTGCTCATCCTTTTAAAAAAAAATAGTTTTACTGAGATACAATTCACATACTACAGAATTTACCCACATAAAGTATATAATTCAGTGTTGGGTTTTTTTTTTTTTTTTTTTTAGCACATTCAGAGTTGTACAACCATCACCACAATCTAATTTTAGAGTATTTTCATCACCCCAAAAAGAAACCCTGTACCCATTAGCAGTCCCTCCTTATTCCCCCTCCCTTCCAGCCCTAGGCAACCACTAATGTACTTTCCATTTCTGTGGATTTGCCTATTCTGGATATTTCACAGAAATGGGATCACACAATAGGTGGTCTTTTGTGGCAAGCTTCTTTCACTTAGCAGAATGTTTTCAAGTTCATCCATGTTGTCATGTGCATGATCAGTACTCCATTCCTTTTTATTGGACTCCTCTTTTTGACACAGGCTGAGGCTGGGGCAGTGGCAGCTGTGCCTCTGATCTGCGGGCAGCTTAGACACTCTCCCTCATTTACTGCACAACTTTGTAGCTCTAGAAGGCCCTCCCCACCTGCACTCTCTTGGGGTGGGTGGAGTTCGACAGGCCTGCTGGCTTTGTACAAGTGGTCAGTGCAGCTGAGTAGGGTCTGTCAACTCCCAGAATGGCAGCACCTTGGAGCTGACAGGCACAACCTCTCTAAGATTAGAGGGGGAGAGTGAGGCTCAGAGGGAGGCAGAGAAACATTCAAGGTTATGGGCAGAGCAGGGGCTCCAATCCCTAGCATTACATGGCTCCTACATTCTCTGTGGGGCATTTGGGGTCGTTCCACATCCCCCACCCCCCATCAGAGCTGCAGCCTACCCTCCCAGCCATCAGCAGATGCTCACCCAGGGCATGCTCATAGAACAGAGGAATCTGAGAACTCCAAGCCTGTCTGGGCCCCACCTTCATGCCCGCACAAGAGCCCCAAGACCCCAGGTCACCCTCCAGATAAAACTATCTGTTCCTGCCATTGCTGCCCACAGTCCAGGTGGGCACAGCCCTGCCAGTGAATTCAGCCTGAATACAGAGGGCCAGGAGGGCCACGTGTTCACGCTGGGTAGGCACACTGCCCACACAGTGCAGAGCCACTCGCCTGGCCCTCCCTCAACCCACATAACTGCACCTACCTTCAGGGCCTGCACCTTCCTGTCCAGCAGGCTCTCGATGTCTCCTGCCACCTTCTCCACCAACTTCTGAGGCTCGTTCTCCTGCACCTCAAACAGATTCCTGTTGTCCTTGTAGATCTAGAAGGAAGCAGGAGCCAGGGGTGAGGCCAGGGTGGTCCCACATTTCCATGTCACAGCCCCTTCATATCCCCCCTGCACAGTATGATCCAGCCCTTGGCCCTGCCCTAACTCTGGCTCTGGCCATTCGGAGAGCATGGACATCTGAGGGTTGGGCCCACTGCCCTCCTGAACTTGAAGAAAGGCTACTACGGTCATGGGTTTCACAGCTTGCCCTGGTTGTGGCTGGTGGGATGGGGTTGTCACTGCCTTCTCTGGGACTCAGGGTTCCTCCTCCCAGGAGCCATGAACAACAACCGCGTGACTAGTTCAGAGTGGCTGAGAGCAGCAGAGGCGGAAGGGTGGGTTCAATAGGAGGCAGGGTGTGTGTGTTGGGGGGGAGGGGGGGAGATGGGACCAATAAGCACACACGGCATACCACATGCCTGCTGACATGAGGACACTGTCACACTCACTACACCACATATGCATCACATATAGCCACCCCTATACCCTTTTTTGCTGGTGTTGCCCCAGAGCATTTACAGAAACTGCAGTGGGGACTCTAGGCACCCCTAGGGGTTTCTCTCTCATTCAGCGCACAGAATATGGGGGCAGGGACCAGGGAAAAGGAGGCATGTGGGGAGGATAAATCTGCCCCTCTCTCCTTGAGAACTGGGTCTGTGCCACACTCACGTGGGGGTATAAAGCTGACAGTCTGCATCTGCATGCGTGTGTGTGTTATGGCTCAACACACATCCATCTGTGTGCATGTGCCTGCATGTTGGGGGTAGGATGGGGTTAGGGCCTCTAGATGAAGCCTGGGGCTTATATGTGAGTCACAGAAGTGAATTCAGACGGCCTCTTTGTTCCAGGCTGGGGTCTTGGGTGTCTGCACATGCATGGATGTGTGCATGTGCGTACGTGTGTGTGCATTGTACACTCACGTGTGTCCATCCAAATGACCCCAAGAGGTCTGCTCCCAAAGCTGACTCCTTCACAGAGGTCATATGCCACTACTGAACTGCTGCCATCGGGCCACGCCATTGGGCAGTGCAGAACCAGAGGAATGCAGAGAGAGAAGAGGTGATGAGGAGGAGATAAGGAGGTGGGAGAGGCAGCTGATGAGAGACAGACAGGCAGGCAAGATAAGGTCGGAGAGTGACAGCCAGACGAGGGGGAGATAAGGCCTCCAGCAGTTCATGGGGGAGGAGTTGGGGGATCAGGCGCCAGAGCCCCTGCCCTGACGCCCACTCAGCACCCAGCAGTCCAAGGGTTAAAGTGCCACACAAAGCCGGCTCAGGCAGTCTCCTCCTCCTGCCGCCCCCCCATCCCTCCCGGCTTCTCTTTTCTTTTTGTCCTTCTCTTAGAACAAAATAATTTGTGGCGAATTCACTCCTTCCCACAGAGCAGTGCAGATTAGAGGGCGAGGCATGAGGCCTGGACGCAGGGCCAGGGAGGACGGAGGCCCCAAGTGGGCATCAGGCCAGGCTGTTCCCTGGGTTCCCTGGGCTGGGCCTCAGGGCAGAGGCCCCCAGACAGAAGATGGTGGAGACAGAGATCAAGGAGGGGTCTGAGTCTGGGGTCACTGGGAAATGTGGAGAGCCTGGAGTTCAGTGCCCACTGTTGGGGGGAATTGAGGCTCAGAAACAAGAAAGGACAGGTCAAGTCCACACGACTCTTCCTCCTGGACCTCTCCTTCCCAGGTTTCAGGGCTTTAAAAATACACCCTTTCCCAAGCATGAGCTGCTGGCCTGGAGCCGGGACACCCTGGGCTTGTTGAGGCCAGCTATACTTTCTAAAGCCTCGGCCGAGTGCACCCTGGCCCACTTGTGCCAGCAGGGGGCGCAGCTGCCTGGCTTCTCTGGGTAGGGGATGAAGTTCGGACACCTGACTCTCCTGTCAAGGTCATTCCCAGGTGTCCCAAACAGGGCTGTCCATAGCCGCGGCAGTCCTGGATCAGAGGCTGGACCAAGCAGCCTCCTGACAACTCTCCTCTGGGAGCCCCGGAGTTCCTCCCCACAGGATCCAGGGTAGCCCCTGCAGCGTCGCATGGTGACTAAGACAGGGCTCAGGAGCCATAGAGGGAGTGGGTCTCCAGGTGGCAGGGTCACACCCCAGGGCCCTGAAAGGTGGCATAAGGGCTTGAAAGCAGGAACCCTGCTAAGAGTCACCTCACGTCTGAACCTTGGTGTCCGATTTATTAAGCGAGAGAACAGCAGTCCCCTCTCTGCAGGCTGATGGAGGACTGCAAAGAACCTACACTATTGTCGCTGCTGCTATTGTTGAGGATCACCAGAATTCTGCAGAAGGAATCACAGTCCCTCCCTGCCTCCACTCTCTCTGCTATATCTGTACACTAAGGATCTGAAGCCATTGGCTTCCATTCCTGGGCAGACAGCCGTGGTCTCCTGGGGTTGGCTCACCCCCAGCCCCACCCTCTTCCCAGGCCTTCCTGGGAAGCCCCTCTCCAGCCATACTGTTCTTGTCTCCAACACCTCAGCCTGGGCCCGAGAGGTGACAACAGGGGAGCCTAGACACAGAGACGCCACTGATACAGCACAGCCAAAGCCAGCTCCCTTCCAGCTCTCCCCAGGCACTGGGCCTGTGTGTAATGGACCCTTGGCAAATGCATATGCCCAATTCCCTGCTCAAGAGCAGAGCTCTGCGACCAGCTAGACCTCAGTCTGACTCATATTCCTGCTTGCGGCTGTTCTACCCCTTGGAACCTGGTGCTTCATCTGCCACACTTTCTTCCTGTCCCAAGGACCCTCTATGACATCTTTCTGCTGGCCCCCGGTGTCAGCATTGGTGGCCTCTCTAGCCCATTGACCTGGTGTGTCCCTGCAGGCTTCTGGGTCCCCAGCCTATGCTGATGCTCACTACCACACCTTTGCTCATGCTGTCCCTGTTTCCCATCTGCCTTCCCTGCCTTTCTAAATCCTCTCTAGAGCAAGGGTGGTAAAATGGGCTAGAAGGAGTTTCTGGAGAGATGAGGGCTGAATCCTAGAGCCTCAGGGCCTGGTCAAACTACCAGCCAAGCCTGTGCCCCAATCCCAAAAGAGCCCCTGAGACATAGTAGCCCTTGTTCCTTCTATCCCGAGTGCTTCATCCCTCTAAACATTCCCCTGAACCTGTTCTAGGTGCCCCTGGCTCCTGGGGGTGGGACCTGAGCTGAGCCCTGTGTCCCAGGGAGATCTGAGTGACACCGTTCAGCAGATGGTCCCACCCTGGGAGATAGGGCATCTCTCCATTGATGCTGTCTGAGGAGGTGCTTTCTACCTACAGGCCTAGCAGGAAGCCTGGGAGACCCCAGGGCAGAAAGTATGCCAGGGCTGGCTCCCCTTGAGCCCCAGCCTCTAGCCCTGGTCCCTGGGGTCAGCTTAGAAGCAACAGACAGGCCAGGGTGCACCGGGTGCAGGGCCTCAACAACCACAGCAGGACCGCACGCCCGCTGGTGTCCTTGGCCCAGCAAGCTAATTGGAAAAACCCAACAGCTCCTACAGCAGCACAGCCTCCAAGGCCCTGACTTCTGCACAGGCGGCTGGACTGAGGAAAGATTTGGGGGCTCACAGGTCTACAGGTTGTTGCAGCTCGGCACCAGCCATGATGGGGGAGGAAGAGGCAGGGGCTCTATCCCACAGAGATGATGAACGGTAGTGGGTCAGGGCAGCAGACTGGCAGACAGGCTGGCTGGAGCCAGGTGAGCATATGGAGGTGGGATGGGGGGAACAGGGCTGGGAGCAGGGGTGGCTAAGACCCCAAGGGATGACAATTCAGAGGCAGCTTGCAGCCCTTTGTTCACAGGAGTCCCTGGTTCCCCTCAGATACCTGTGGCTTCCTCCCCTGAGGGCACCTCCCCCACTCAGTTATGGAGACCTGTCCCTCTATCTCTCCCCTCATCTCTTCACCTCCCTCCCTGTGCGTCCCAGTACTGGCCTCAACCCCAACCCTCTCTCAGCTCTAGTGATTCTTTAGTTAAGTGGTATATCTGGCCAGCCTTTCGGCCTAGGATTTTAAGGGCTTGTGGAGGCCAAGGTCAGGGGCCCCAGAACCTCTGCCCAGCCCCCCTGCTTCCCCAGGGGGCCTCCACATAAAGAGGAGCCTAGAGGACACCTGTAGATACGACGACCTTGGGCAGGAAGCCTGGATGCACACAGGGGCAGACAGAGCCACCCTCGTCCCCACAGCTCCCAATGGTCCTGACTCGGAGTGGGGTCAAGTTCTGAGGTACCTGGAAACAGAGACAGCCATCACAGGAGACAAGAGACCCCAGGACTGGAGACCTGGACGCCTCAGTCATACTGGAGAGGCTCTTTGCAAAGTCCCAGAACCGGCGGCAGTGGGGCCTGGCCCTGAGCCAGCACCTAACCTGCCCAGAGACAGTAGGAAGGTGGGGAGAAAGGAGAGTAAAAGGAAGGCGAGGAGGGGAGGGAGAGGAGGGCAAAGGGGAAAGAGGGACAATGGAGGCTCCGGGAAGGATGCTGTTCACTGAGTGCTGGCTCTGGCCACCCTGGGGCAGATGTTTTCACACCTGGCCTCACTGATCTTGGACAACCCGAGGAAGTACGCTTCTGATCATGTCCATGTAGCAGACAGGGCACTGAGGGTCAGAGAGCTTAAGTTATACAGTAGAGATCAGATTCAAACCAGATCTGTCTGACCCAAAACCCTTGCTTCAGGTCACAATCTGTGCACTTCGGTTCCCTGCACTTATTCCCGTACTTGAAGGTGAGGCACAAGGTGAGGGAACCAGGGTCACACTGAAGGCCTCCATTCTGGAGAGAAGGAGGGGCGGACTGGCAGAACCAGCCTGATGGACTATATAACCACCCAACACTGGGAGTAAAACCAGGTGCGTGTGAGGCTCCTCTCCGCAGCGAAGGTGAACGGGCCCTAATCTCTGGAAAATTAAATCAGAAAGAAAATGGAACGAGAAAGATTTGACACAGGCTGGGCCCTGCTGCTGGCTGTCTCCTCACAGGCCCAGGCTCAGTTGGGTGTTCAGCTACCCGGGTGCT